AACCAGTTTCAGCAAGCGTACGTAAACTACCGATCAATAGCAACACGCGTAGAGTATTTACTTTGCCTTCCGCAACTACTGCGAGTAAAAGGTATTTGACAGTAGAGTACTCTACTGGTAGTACTTGAGTATTTTCGAAGAAAACATACATTTGCGGCAAGAATGATAGAAGAATTTTCTGGATCGCGCATTTGTGGTATCTGAAAAAAACTAAGGACAGGAAAGTAGTGGAGCGATGAAGAGAGCGACGAGCAAAACGTACTTTCAACTAAAATGCTGATATACATACCTAAGTACATACAGCTACTCACACTCAAAGTGGGACACAGAGAAAAATTTGATGGTAGAATATTTAGAAGGCATAAAAAAATTGTCGATTAATTTTAAGCATTTTCATTTAATATAATTCAATTTATTAGAGAAATATATAGACAAAAAAATAAAGAAATTCAAAAAATGCCATAAGAGCTTTTTAAAATTAGTCTTTTGTTATTCAAACTGCTTAAGGCGAAGCTCACACTCAAAGTGGGACACTACAGTTTCCATACATGTATTTTTTATAAAATAAGTAATTAATACTTCGTTGACTTTCCATTGCTCGCTATCACAGCTTGAAGGCGTCTCGGTATACTTTCCACCAACTTTTTACAGAATTCAGGTTCGATATTATACCACTCTTCTATTACGGCATCCTTCAGTGCGGCAATGCTTTTGGCCTTCCGTTTGGCTACCCTTTTTTTCAACTCTGCCCAGATATGTTCTATAACATTTAAGTCTGGAGACTGAGGAGGTGTCTCCATTACCTTTGGACAGTTATAGAGTAGCCAATTTCGTGCATTCCAGGACTTATGTTTGGGATCGTTGTCCTGGTAGAATACGAAGTCGTCTTTTATGCCAAGTCTTTCGGCGCTTTCTTTCACGTTTTCTTTCAGAATGTCAATGTAATACTTCGCATCCATAATTCCATTCACAAAATGTATTTTCCCAACCCCAGACTCTGACATACACCCCCATATCATAAGGGAGCCACCACCATACTTCACGGTTTTTTTAATGGCGTTATCCTGAAATTCAGCACGAGGCTTGCGCCAGGCAAATCTTTTTCCATCCGGCCCAAAGAGGTTTATTTTCGTTTCATCTGTAAAAAGAACCTACGCAGATATTATAAGAATCGAAAAAAGTTGGAAAAATTTACAACAAAAGTAATTACTTTTGACCAGAACGTTGCATTCTTATTTGCATGCTTTTGAACGAAGGCGTATCTCAGCTGTTGGTTTTTCGCCGATATCAAAGGCTTTCGGCGGCAGGCTCTTCCGTGTAAATTGTTGCTCCTTAAGACTCGGCGGACTGTTTCAGCACTTACTTCTACGTTTTTTATCTCTTTTAAGCTTTTTTGGATGTCAACTGCTGATAAAAGCGGGTCGTTTTCAATTTGTTTCAAACAATATCGCTTATCCCGGTCGGATAATTTGCGCCTGTTCACGCAATTTCTTTTTTTATTTTCAACACTATTAGTGGCTTTAAAGCGTTTTATAATATTAAACACTGTACTTTTCTTCTTATTAACTATCTTTGCTATTTCTCGGATAGATTTGTTGTTTTTATAATTGTTTACAATAATTTGTCTTTCTTCAATTGTAGTTTGACCTTTTTGTGACATTTTGAAGAAATGAATATCTTACCACAATGAAATATCATAAAACACTGATTTTAGCTCGCAATTGCTGATCGCGAACATCAAAGATAGCGGTACTTCAAAAAAATGCACGTGTCCCACTTTGAATGTGAGCATTCGAAGCTTAGATGAAGATGTAGAAATGCAAATGTTTTTGTACTTACACTGTGAAAAAAAGAAAACACACAATTTCGGTAAAACCTTATTCTAGTGAAGTAAAATAAAAGGCAATTCTGGCAATTTCTCCAATATTTACAATGTGTATTTAATGCGAAGGATACAAAACTAGTATTTTAGTGCAGTGTCCCACTTTAAGTGTGAGTAGCTGTATGTATGTATGTGCATAGATACGTATGTGCATAGATACATATATATGTAAGTGTCCGCATATATTTTTTCTCGTCACTTGTTCTGTCGCTTCACTGCAGCAAAACCAAGTTGTGGGGAAAACCCTGACGATATGCGTACAATTGAAACCATGGGTTTGAAGATAGCGCAAATTGATGTGAAAGTTTAAATTTCATATTAAATATATTTATGTATGCATGTACATATGTACATATGTAAAAATGTAGTTTCGATTTAAAAAAATCGGATAAAGTTTTTCTTTCGCCATTCATACACCTCTAATTTTAGTATTTATTAAAAAAACTCAATGAAATTCAAAAACTCTATCTTGCATTTGGTTTTACTCAATACCAATTTGAGCTGTCGCAGTGTTATCAAAAAAAAAAAAGTTATCAATGGGTAGGTTCAGAAGGCGCAGCAGTTGAGCGCAACCGTTGCTAAACAAAAATCAGTGATCGTTATGCGTCTTTTGAACGACTTCATACATTAGCTGTCAAATTCAACTCTCAAAGGTACACACCAACATGTTGTCTCAAATGATCAGAAAAATATTACGATCATCTAACACGCAACTATTCAGTTGATCAGAAGTACGCAACAACGCGTTCAGAAGGTGCAATCGCACCAGTTACTGAGCTGTTTCGCCTTCTGAACGTGCCAAATGAAAATTCGTTTCTCTTGAAATCAAGTTATATGGCTGCGTATGTATGTACATATTCCGAAATTTTTTTTATTTGTAAAGGCTCTCAAGAAAAACTAAAAATTCATATAAAATTACGCACAATAAATGGAAAATAAATTTTCTTCTACTAAAAATTTCTTAAATCAGTATGCAGCTCTTAAGAAAAAAATGCTCGTACATCTCGTCGCTACCAATTTTGATTTGCCACTAATAATTGTATTTCGTATAGCAGCATTGCTTAAGTTATTTTTTTTGACAACTTATTTGTTGGTTAATGACTGCAAATAGTTTTATAGAAAATTAGAGACGAGAAATAATACTTTCATAAAAATTTAAGTACATACATAGATTTAAAAAGCTGCTTGAATACAAAAGTTTTATGAAAATGTCACATTAAACAACTGTCTAAATCTATGCTATTTTTTATAAATAAGGCCGTAAATATTTCCTTACATCGTTAATTTCCATATTCTATTTTTACTCTTTCAATTTCACTGACCAGCGCTGCAAACGATATCAACTAGTAGGCTAACAACCAGAATTGAAATTTAATACGCAAGTACTTACCGTACTACAAGTATACAGAGAGTAGATTTGCTACTCCCTTTTGGCAGCAGCAAATATCTCTCGTACGCGATGAGAGAAAGTAGAGTACGTACTTTGGTGGAGTAATAGCAAGTACGTCAAGTAATTACTCTCTCAACGCCAAGTAGTGTATGTATGCGGAAAAAGAGTTACAATGTGTTGGGAGTAGAGTACAATGCAAGGAGTACTTATTGAATGAAATGCGGCAAATACAATTGCGCTGGACTCTAATACATAAGTACGTGAATTGCGACACCAGAGTTCCAGTACTTTTATAATCGTAGTGTAGCGAATAGTCACGTAATTTCACAGCAGATTGCACAAATGGAAATTGCATTACTTCATTCAATTTCGCTGAAACAAGTTTTTTTTTAAAGTGATTGATGTAATTTCCAATACTGAGCGAGTAAATTTTAAAAACTAACTTGTATGTGACAAGTTCATATCGTCGTTTAAAGTACAAAACCACGTATCAAGATAATGCAAAACCGCGTATGTGAAGTTGCATCAATTATTTTCTAGAGGATAAAAACACTCATATATGAAATTGGTTCTCTTTTTTATAAATTTTTATAAAGCAATCGCATTTCTGGCTAGTATATTTCAGGACGAATGGGTAAGGATTGAGCCAAGAGCTTGTGCGAGCAAATCTAAGTTTTGGCAGCAAATGTCAGTTACGGGGTTTTGCAGAATGACGACACGCGGTTTTATACTTTAAACGACGATACGTACGTATAAATAAAATTAGAATATTAATTAAAGTTTATTACAGAGATAGATAATGAACACTTACTCAATTAGGATTGGCAGATTTTTTTCTCAAAACTCAGTATTTTCGGCTTTTCCAGCGCAAAAAAATCAGTACATTTCCGTACGTTTTTTAGATGCAAAAATTTGACAATTCACTGCTAGTTTTATTAAACACACATTCTAATATATTTTTACATATTTAGGTACATACTAGAGGTATACGCCGCCGAGTTACGAAAAAATCGGCGAGGCGGCGGCGTTCGGCGCCTATGGAATTTTGTACAAAATTTTCTTGAAATGCATCGCTTGAAGGAACTACTACTACAGAATATATAACAATTTTTTTCAATACCACAAAAATATTCCTTTTTTTACATATTACTACAACAACAAGAAAGTTGACACACACCAAAAAACTTTAACGATAATATCTCAGAAAGAAGTTTTAACAGAAGTGCCCTTATTGCATCTAACTCCTCGATTATTGTAGATAAAACAAAAACAAATTGATGTTCTTGTGTATTTTTTCTTTAATAAAGAGTTGAATATTTTTTAAACAGATTTTAAATAAGTAAGTTATTTTATTCCGGGTTCCCACAGACGTATACAAGTTCTAGGTGGCTGTGTGAAAACTATGCTAGCATTCACAAGTGGTGGGCAAACCCCAGAAAGGTTTTGCTCCATCGCATCGCCTACGTTTCATACGGCTTATTCTTGACTAAGTCAAGAAAATTGGCTTAACTAAGTTCAGTTGAGTTGGAGAAACCAGCCCATAATGTATGTAAGCTGATATCATAGCAATCATAGCAACGGGTATGCATGTATACAGCTGTGTCACCATATGGTGGCCTGCGCTAAAC